TTTTTTTTCTCTCTGGCTGCCTTTAATACTCTGTCCTTGTCTTTGATCTTTGCCATTTTAATTATTATGTGTCTTGGTGTTGCCCTCCTTGGATCCCTTGTCATGGGAGTTCTGTGTACCTCTGTGGTCTGAGAGGCCATTTCCTCCCCTAGTTTGGGGAAGTTTTCAGCAATTATTTCTTCAAAGACACTTTCTATCCCTTTTTCTCTCTTCTTCTTCTGGTACCCCTATAATGCAGGTATTGTTCCATTTCAATTGGTCACACAGTTCTCTTAATATTCTTTCATTCTTGGAGATCTTTTTATCTCTCTCTGCATCAGCCTCTCAGCGTTCCTGTTCTCTGTTTTCTAGTCCATTAATGGTCTCTTGTATCTCGTCCATTCTGCTTTGAAGTCCTTCCAGAGCTTGTTTTATTTCTGTATTCTCCCTCCTTAGTTCTTGCATATTTCTCTGCAAGTCCATCAGCATGGTTATGACTTTTGTTTTGAATTCTTTTTCAGGAAGATTGGTTCAATCTATCTCCCCAGGTTCCTTCTCAGGGGAAGATGTAGCAGATGCCGAAGCTGTCTGGGTTAGTCTTGTCTGGATCAAATTTTTTTGCCTTTTCATGTTGATAGGTGCAGTGGTATGCTATTGACTCGTCTGTCAGCTGCGAGAGCCAAGACTTTTTCCACCAGCTCCTGGCCTTTCTTTACTGGGACAACTGTGACCCCTAGTGGCTTGTGTTGGGAAATTGCATGTAGACTGGGTCTCTGTATCTTGCCCGGCCGGTATGGAGGAAGCTCCCTTGCTGTGGGCATGGCCAGCCTCAGGCTGTCACTCTGCTATGGCGGGGCCCCGGAGGGGTAATGGTCGTGGGGGTTGTTTGGCTGTTTACCTCCATGAGGGGTCTCAGAGCTGTTGCCCAGTGAGTTAGTGCGCCCGGAGTTCCCTGGAATTTCCAGCTGCTGGATTGTGACCCGGGATGCTTCCATCCACCTGTGGGGTCCCTGTCCTTTTAAGACTTTCAAAAAGCACTCGCTTTTCTTTGTTTCAGGAGCACCGGCTGTGGGACCTGCTCACAGGTCTTACTTTCCTGTTTCCCTAGTTTCCAGCACCCCACGCATGCACTGTGTCTGTGCTCTGATGTGGATGGCTGGGGCTGGGTGATTAGCAGTCCTGGGCTCCCTCTCCCTCCCTACTCCAACTCCTCTCCTCCCACCAGGAGCTGGGGTGAGGGGCACTCGGGTCCCACCGGGCCGGGGCTTGTATCTTACCCACTTCGCAAGGCGCTGGGTTCTTGCAGGTGTGGATGTGGTCTGGCTGTTGTCCTGTGTATTCCGGTCTCTCTTTTAGGGATAGTTGTATTTGTTGTATTTTCAAAAATATATATGTTTTTGGGAGAAGATTCCCACTGTCCTACTCACGCTGCTGTCTTGGCTCCACCTCCCAGAATGTAAACTCTTTGATAACAATTTTACATGAAGCTGATTTTTAAATCCTATCCATTTTTTACCTTGGGCCATTTCTGGTTTCTTATATTTTAAATTATGATTTTATTTAATGAAGGAATAAAATGTTTAATTTCGATGGTATTTGGGAATTTTATAAAATGGAAGGTTCTCTGGAGCAGCCTTAAATCAGTTCATGTGGTGTTTTATAAGTAACAATGTAAGCACAACCAGACATAGGGTAGTTGGGGAAACTGCTTTAACCACTTCTTTAGAAAATGATACACCTTTTAGAGTTGATTGGTTAGTTATTAGCAGTAACTAGATGGAGAATTATCCTGTCTCCCCAGGACACTAATGGAAACAAGTTCTAGGATTTGTCTCTGAGTTTTGCCTGCTAAAATATACTCTCACACAACCTTTAGGGCTGAAATTATTCTGACATTTCAGCATAAACCAGCCAAAATATGCATTGCTGGCTGTAATGTAATTAGGTAAACTACCTTAATTATTATATTTAAGTTATATATTCTTTGCAATATGCTATGCAACCAAGCTGCCTGGAATCTCAAGGCCATTACATGCCTTGAACTAAGGTTGAAATTCAGCCTGTCAGTCCTTACTCCAAGAAATCTTCCAGTTTTGACCTTCGTAATGTGTAAATGGCCTCCACAGATGAGAGGGCATGAAGGTTAAAATAAACAAACAACAAACTGCACAGTGGTGATATTTTAGTACTGGGACACATTTTCTCTCCCTTTTTCATTTCCTTAAAGAGTGCATTGGATTTTAAGAATACAAATAATTGTTGAACATGTGTAAATAAGGTTGTAAGGTATAGATTTTTTTTTCTCAGATACAAACTTCATTACTATTGCATATACTCTTTTAATTTTGAAAAGAATCATGTATTTCATTATAATCTAATGTCCCTTGAATTCAGGAAAGAAGTCTCCTTAAGTAGTTACATTTTCAATTGGGAAAAGAAAGAACAGCTTTTCTGGTGGTTTTATAGAAAATCCTATGTTAAAGTGATTCCAGAAACATCACTACCAAAAATGTACTTTATACATAGCTAGGTAGTATAATATGCATAAAGTCTCACCTTTGATTATCTTCTATAAAATAAATTTCCTTTGATAGATTTTGGCAGAGGAAACAGTACGAATGGTCCTGAAGACTCCATAGATGCTCTAAGACATTATCAGAGTTCCCAGAAACACTTTGAAGAGAAAAAAAGCAGATCTTCATCTTTCATCTCATCCATTGATGATGAACAAAAGCCTCTCTTCTCAGGAGTAGTAGATTCTCCTCTGGGAATAGGAAAAGCAACTGGCCTCAATTTTGAAGAAACAGTGCCCACCTCAGGAAGAATTCACATAGAGAAAAGAAGTCGCTCTTGCAAAGGTAACCAAGTTTCTCAGGGATCAGATAATCTTTCTTTGGGGTTCATTATAAAATGGTGGCTTTTCACAAATGAGGAACTGTACTAGCAAATGTTAAGATTTTACAATTTCATGAAATGTTTGCAGTTCAGCTCTTGGATCACCTACAAAGTGCACAATTCTGAAACAGTTGTAATTATTCCCAAACAAACATAGCATAAAAGATTTTTTTGTAGCCAGGCTGAACATAATGTCACATAGAACATTGTGGGAATATCTCTTGTAGTAATTCCAATAGGAATAGGGCACTACTGAGTATTTTAAGAGAACCAGTCGATTCTTATGTGTATCTCCTGTACCCTTCCTTATCCCTACCCAGTCATTTTACAGTATGAAAGACCAATACAATGACACTGTACAAATGTGAGAAAGAATTTCAGTTTACTGGGAATCATGAGGAAATGGGGAGAAATATCCCTAAATAAAGTATGCTCTTTATCCACCTCATTTGAACACATTTATTGAACATGTCTGCCAAAAGGAATACCCAAATATATGAGTTTTGTTGTAAAAACAATATGCATGAGATGGATAATAATGTTTGATTAACATACACAGATTTGATGCCAAAGGATGGTGATCTTGGGTAAATGGGAACTCTTATATGGAACAACAATTAACTTGGCATAACAGGAGCTAGATGCACAGATCAAGTTAAATTTAGGCATTAAGTGGGTGTGAGCAGACTGCTTGGCTTCTAGCCACAACTACCTTCATCTCTTCACTTGCTCACTTGCTCCCTTTGTGTCTTTGAATAAATGACTTAACAGATCCCACTGACTCAGTTTGCACATCTGTAAAGTAGGAATAATATTTCCTAACTAACTAGTTGGTTGTATTAAACAAGATAGCATGCATAAATTACCCTCTCTGAAATAAAACCCCAATTCAGTTTAGTATTTTCTCACATGTTTTGTTTCTAACCCTTTAATCATTAAATACAGCTCTGTATCTGTAGAGATGAAGAAGGCATAGCAAATAACCAAAAGAATATAAGAGAAATTTTAAAAAACAGAATGTTCTTACCCTAGCAGGATAGAAAATTACAGCACAGAGTAAATAAATATTACCCATCATCATCACCATTATTCAAAGTGCTACATCTCATAACAAAAGTTTTATGAATTCTAGGCTGTTTAGGCTTTAAATTTTTCCAGAGTTACTTTCCCTATCTTATCAAATCAGCTTTTGCCATGGCACCATGTTGAAGTAAGCTAAGAATATATGCAGATGTTCTCTGGACAATGTAAAATCTTGATGAAGTGAGTGAAAATAGTACCTCATTTATCATCAAGGAAGAATGGAATATTAGATGTGATTACCAAATGTCCTACTTTAGTTATTTATGAAAACGGGTTCTGGGAAGTACTAAAAATAGAAAAAGGTTGTATCACAGAAGTCAGAAGTTCTGAAGAGCTTGCCGAACCATCCCTGCTTCTCCAAAAGTCAGCATATTGTAGTCCTGATTTAAAAAAAAAATGCTTTCTGTTGTTTCCATCTTGAGTCTCAGAATCTCAAGTGACACGTCATTAAAGATGTATTTTGGGGATTTTATTTGACTTTATAATGATTCAGTGACAGTGAATTCTCATGCCCTTCATCTTGTATTTTTCTTTGCCACTTATTCCAATTATTTTAAATTCACAATTCTACATGCACAATGGAAAATCATATTCTAATAAATAATTTTAACATCTACAAATTTTTAATTATCAAAAATTTGCAGTATAATCTCTATTCAAATAAATAATTACCCTGAAAATGCATAACCAAACATTCATGTCAATTGAATAAAATAATTGATGTCATATAGCATCAACCAGTGTAACATATGGTTAACTCCATTAGTTAATATGATTAACCAAAGGAAAGTTCTAAAATTTCTCACTGCAAATTTCATTTCCTAATCATTTTTTAAAGTGAAGTCCCCTGGAATGTTTAGGAATGTATAATATGTAAGGATTAGCTATAACTGCTATAGTTTGAAGTACTAAGTAACCACAATTTTAGTTTTATCAATAAAAAGAAATTTATTTCACTAACATTCCTGGCACTTGTCATGCTGAAGTCAACAGAAGCGTACCTTTAGGCAAATCTAAATAGACAAAAAAAGTTTTAAATGGACTCTGACCCTACATAGATTGAGGTCAAAAGTTGACTCCAGAAAAATTGTGTACACGGAGCAAAGACAAAGTTTACTTTCTCTTTATCCATTTCCAGAAATGTGTCCTGCAACTATAGCAACATTTTCCAAGGCAACCAAGTGCAGATTCCTTCCGAGCTATATTTAGAAAGTGTCTACAAGGATGTTCATTTCGATTAAGACCACTAACCGGGATTTCCCCTTTAAGCCCCCTTTTCTCAAATTGCTGTTAAAACAAGTTAATCACACATATCCAGATTTTAACAAAAAAGTAAATTATAATCAAGGAAGCCTCTGTTTAATAGTTTTCATTTTATTCATTTCTGCTTAGAGGAGATAATCAGTTTTTGTCTTGAGTACTGAAGAAAAAAATATAATCCTACATAATTGATTGTGTGATTCACCATTGTTATTTAAAAATCAGTTTATTATATATAATTTGAGAATGAGAGAGCGGTTAAGCAAAGGCAGAAATTCTGTAAGCTTTTTCTTGACACAAAACTTGTGAGCATAGTTTGTAACTTCCATCCTGTCGGTTCTTACTGTCTAGTGGCCAAACAGGGCCAGCACGGACTTTTTGTGTGGTATTGCTGCTCCAAAACTGAAAGCTTGGGATACTAAGACATTATATGATTGTTTTACATTTTAAATAAACTCATATCTGCAAATAATAAATCATACTTTTCAGTAAATATCAGGATACCATGGGCTAAAGAAGCCCTAATCACAAAGAACAGTTCTGGAATTCATAGCATCTCTGTGAAGTCTGTTAAGCCATTTCAGAAGGACAAGGAGTCTTGACCCCATATTTTTCTAATGCTGTTTTTGGATATGCTACTGGGTTGTGTTTGTTCTCTGCAGTTCTTGTCCTTGCTGAAACAAAGAATTGAAAGGCAGAGACACAATAGTGAAGCCAAGCGTAAGTTTTATTTGAATACACTCCAACGCAGGAGCAGGCCAGAGTCAAGGCAGACAAAGGCCTTCACCCAGTGGGCACAAGGCAGGAGGCCTTTATATTACATTCTGGCTGGGAGGCACCCCTTTGATTGACAAGGTGGTGTCATTTGATTGACAGGTCCATCCGTACAGCCGTCCTTCTGAGTGCACATGCCCTGTGCACTCAGGTGTGGTTTGGGTAGTTCTTAGTTTTGTTCCATTGTACCCACATTGGGATGTGGTTGGGACAGGTTTGGCCTGGTCCCAATAGGCAAGGAAGTTCTCTCCCTTCAAAGCTTTGTTTGTTCTTTTTTTTTTAAATAGCCACGGATATAAATTCCTTAACATTACATAACTTTTGTCCATGTTTAATCATAGCTACTTGTCCAAACAAAAAAAAAGTCAATCAAACCAAATCACTTTCTGTAATTCAAATGTATTCCCATGTGAAAAAGACCAGTTTTAGATCCCCTTTTCCTCTTACCAGCTCTCCTAGTCAGAAAGAGATGTTGCCCTTTCTTTTCTCTGAAATAAACTCCCAAATCCACTAGTATTTTTTTGAGGGCTTTGTTTTCTAGCCCTTTAGTCATTTCAAGTTCTTCTCTGGACATGAAAATATGATAGAGGATAAAAAATATAGCACAAGCCATCAAAAGTATATGACAAAATAAGAGGAAAGATATTATATTTGCCCTCAAATACTGATAACTTGCAAATACAGATTACAGGAAAAACAGCAAATTAAAAGAAGCTCAGAAGGTGAATTTCTGTATGAAAAATGATCAAAAGCTTGCTAGATTGACTTCTTCAAGTATGGGGTCTATGTCTTCTTTGCCTTTAATTCCCCCACATTTAGCAGAGTGTCTGGCACATTAACAGACATGCAAAGCATTTGAAAAGTGAACTTGAACAGATAACCAATATGTTTTAAAGTGTAGCAACATTAAAATAGTCTAAATAAAAGAGCTACCAGAAAAAAATATTGGAAATTAATGTGAATATATTAAAGTGCAGTTCAGGAGCTGCAAGGAAACATAAAAACAAGAAACTATGTCATAGAACTAGAGGACCTTTCCATCTTTAATGGCTTGTGGGTCCTTGGCTCTACCTTGAGTTGGGGAAGCCTGAGGGAATTCTCTGGAAGATTAGCAGTTCCCCAGGGCTCTTGCATTGGACCCACCCTGGATCCTGAAGTATGAAAATTACCCTGAGGGAACAACCCTAAAATCTTAAACCCAAGATGAAGAAGTGCAAACAAAATATGCTGTTTCTTCTCAAATGTAGAAGTTGTGGTTGGCAATCTATGTTTCCTTTTAACACAGGACAAAATCATGTTCAAGATTCAAGACCTGCTATGAGTTTTTACGCCTGTGCAAGAGGGCAGGGGAGGGATCAAGTAGGGTCAAGGTGGGACTCAGCTACCGATTGGCTGTGGCCCCTATGCAGGTCTCTGCATCTCTGGATTATACAGCGAGTTCCCTTCCTGCTGATCTTGCAGATGTCTCTCTGTGCTATGATGCAAAGAACCATTCAGAGAAGCTGACATTCATCTTGACTGTTTCCCACAGATACTGTTGACGCAAGAAGCTGGGAACAAGAAAATGTCAGGACTCAGGCTGACGAATCCAGCCCCTCAGCTCTTCAGCAAGCCGCCTGGGGAATTTCTGAAACGGAGAGTGACCTCACATGTGGGGAAGTGGAGCAAAGATTAGATTTGCTTCAAGAACAACTCAACAGGTATAAGCAGAGAGAGAGCATAACCAAGCTTTTAGCTGGGTCTAGCCTTACTCCTTGTAAACAGCAAATTCCTACTATCATAATGTCATTTTTTCTTTATACGCTTGCTTATTTAAAATAAGACTAGAAATTGACAGATTTATTAATCTGTGTTGCAAGGAGCATTTATTTAGAACACTTCATACTCACACAGTATACATCCTATTTTTTTCGTTACTTGTCATAAAATTGGGATACCCACACCAGCTGCTTAAGAAAACTCCTTTTCTTTCCTCAAAACAATTCATACTGAGTTTGTTGACTAGCACCCTTCCTCATTTAAATTCTTCTTTTACGCTTATTTAAACATCTAGTTATTCAGCCTTGTTAAAAATGTGATTGAACTGAAAACCCAGCTCAAACAGAGTTGAAGCCCAGACCTTCTTCTCTGTCTTCCCTCCATCTTTGATTCTATACCCTTTTAAGATGAGGAATGCATTTTGGTTTTAGGGAAAATGGGACTCCTTAACCCAAATGCACGGATTCCTTAAAATCAAACTAGTCAATAAGACACAGAAAGAAAAATACATGAATAGTATGACATAGCTTCTTTAGTGGTGTTTCATGTGGGGATTGACATGGATCAAGTTCAGCCTCTGGGTACACCACCAAGGGTGGTATTCCAGTGGTTCCAGAAGGAAAACTGCATGGATTAAACTACAATGTTCAAATAGCAGGAATTGCTTAATCAATTTAAAACACGCAATGAGAGATGAGGAGAGCCAGATGGAGCAATTCATACGTTTCTAACAAGCGGAAGCAGGGTTCAAGGACCACACTACCTGAATCATAAGTTACACAATGTGTAAATGCTGCGCCACCCTACCCTGTCAGGGTGATTACTAGGATCAGAGGTGAGGCTTGCACAAAAGGGTTTACAGACAAAGAAAAGAAATCCTGTGCCAATGACATACATGTGCCTGTTCACAGATGTGTTAAGAACAAGTAGAGCTGGTCACAGCTCTGACTCTACAGTTAGCCTGCTCAACAGCCAGGTGTTTTATTGCCCTTTTGTAGGTAAAGAACATATGGAGCCAAAATGAGCCTCGTATGTCACTAGTGGGTGACCAAATTTGAGGGTGACAGTTGTCTGCCCAGAAGTGACATGAGAATAACCTGTTCTTCCCATTTCTCTGTGCAAGCCACAGTCCAGTTTGTTACATCATACTTCTATTTTATCTTTGGCATGTATTACAGGTTACTAGCATGTTGTCTATATTTTTTACAGCTGATGAATTCTGCCTGTGTTGAAGCTACTTGTTTACTCATTATCTGTACTTAACTCATGCTATGATTTTTGCCTATACCACATGCTACCGGTTTACTTCATGTCTTAACATTTCTTACGTGTTTTATCCATGCTTTGTTGTTTTCATTGTTTGTTTTAAATGTTTATGTCAGAATAGAATAGTGTCAAAGAATACAGTAATTACATTAAAACGTGCACACACAAATACCTTATCATGAAAGATGAATTAGGAATTAAGACAGAAAAAAAGAATTAGAAAAGTTACACATTTTAAATTGAAATAAATTTGTATGCCTTAATTTCAAACAGAAGTGTGAAAATATTGCATGAACTGAAGATTTAATTTTATATTTTATTTTTTCATGTTAGTTAATTGAATTTAAAATCTCCTGGTGCTAAGATCTGTATCCCATTCCCAAATGTCAAATGCAAGTCTTATGAAATTGAAACATACCTGAGAAAATTAAAACAGACTATCATTTACTCAGAACCAGTAATCCTTAATTAAAGTGTAAGAACTTGGCATGATCATACTTATTATTGGTCAGAGAAGCAGAGTTACTTGACTAATACATTTATTTTTTCTCTCACTATTTACGCCAAGCCACATTTATATTTTAACCATAGCATATATAAAAATATATACTATACATACATAAGAATTAATATGTGTAATCTCTGAACCGCTCTTAAAGAGAGGAACATAACTGCCCATTTCTTTACAGCCAGGACATATGGTATGTATTCAATATGTTGAGTAAATAAAAAAAGCAGTGAATGAATGGATGAATGACAGAGATTGCAGTGATATCTTTAGCACAATACTTGCACAGTACTTGCAATTGGTTGGTCTAGATTAAAGTCATAACTCTGCTACTTAACTACTTACAGAATGGCTGGATCAAATCATTCAGATTCAGTTTCTTTCTTTGATTCATACCTCCCTGTAGGGTTGTTGTAAAGACTAATAAGCTGTGGGAACTGTGTATGCTGTACAAAATGGGACGTGTTGTTCTTGCAGCTAGATAAAGTCTGATTAATGCTGAACTTCACCTCTTTTATTAGCATTTCTCTGAGTTCTACTTTACATATATTTACTGATTTGGACCTTTTTTCAGGACTAAAATGGGAATTTTAGGGTCCCCTTGGTGCCTTGCCATAGGTACCATTCACTGCTGCTAGGATAAATCAGTGATTAATGAGAACTTATGTTTTCGATGTATCCCAGGGCTGAAAGTGCCCTGGGAAACTTTTAAGGGCCCATACAACAAGGACCTAGTTGCAAACAACTGCCCTTCATAATTACAACTGTTATTGCTATTTTATTGCCTTAGTTGTTATTATCATATGAAACTTTTCCACCTTCAAAGTGCAATTCAAACTTTTTTGACATCTTTTGACTTGTTCCCAGCACCTGTATGTCCTTTGATATACTTCTTCTCACTTGGACTAACTCATATTTATCTCTGATATTTTCACAAACATTTTATTGCCTAACTCAGCCACTTTAGGATTGAAAACCTAAAACATTGTATTTCCACTGCACCATCTCCAACAACATCTTCCCTCCACTTTAAGAAGGCAAAAGTGTGGAAGACAAGTTTGAAGAGGGGAGCTCCATCTAGACTTTGACTTTGCAGGGTGAGAATCCTGGGACCCTTTCTGGAGGTGGCTCTACCCCCCTGCTTCACTTTGGCGTTCTGTTCAAATGTAGAGCTGTGAACCCCTACCCTGTTTGTCTCATCTCCATATGCAATGCATTAAAAATGAACACAAATGGTCTACTTTGAATCAACTTTGCTGCTGTGCTGCTGTTTTTCTGCTTTACCAGCAATTAACCTTCACATAGAGTTAAAGATTTACATAAGAAATGTTCTTATATTTAATACTACTTCTATTATTTTAACATTTATATCAATATCAATGGAATATATATGTATATATTACTATATCTGTAACTAATATTGATATTGATATACTAGGCCTAGATGTACACTTAGAGAAATCATCCTAAATTGGTGGCTTCTCAAACTTTAATATACATTGAAATCATCTGGGGATTTTGTGAGAATGCAGATTCTAAGTCTGGCAGGTCTGGAGTTTGCAGAGACTCTGTCCACATTCTAACAAGCACCCAGTGTTGACCACACTTTGAGTTGGAAAGCCCTAGAGAATGTAAAGCTTTTAGTAATGATTCCATCCCTTGCAGGACACCCAGAGCAATTTATCAATGCCTTTGCTCTGGCATTGAGCACTGGATTCACCTGACATTATAGGTATTTATGCATTTCCTCCATTTTTCCTTCCTGTGAGGTCAGCACTGTCAGCATTTGAGACCAGATTCCATAGTTATTCATCACCATGTTCTCCCCTCACCTACCAACACCATGCCTACTACATTGTGGGTCTTTGAACAAGTGAATGAAAAAATATACATTTTACACAGCTATATAGCTATGCTGATGTAGAGGAAGAAAAACAGTTTTCCCACTACCCTTCTGAGTTTTTCCTGAGACCCTGTAATAAAGAACAGATTAACAAGAGAAAAACAAAGAGAAATATAGTAACACATACACCTCAAGGGAGATACCCAGGGGGAAATAAATAACTTCCAAAGGTAACTTAGAATTCAAGATTAAATATCATCTTCATAGGGGAAGGGGTGAGGGAATGTAGGCCTCTTAGGGGAGGGAGAATAAATGAGGTTTAGGGAAGATGAACAGCCCCTTAGAAAAATACATGGGAAACATGAGAGTTTGTGACATTGTCTGCCTGAGATCGGTGTCAATTCTGGTCTCCTTTACTTTGATAACAGTCAATCTTCCCTGGTTGATGAAATTCCCAGGGAGGGGACTGATGACAATTGAGTTCCTTTTGGAAGATATGTGTTTAGGCAGATAAGGAGAATCCAGAGAAGTTCTCTCTCTGCATTTGTTGCTTTACAGATACCTCCAGGTCAAAATAATCAATATGGCAAAGTATTATATTTTGGGATGGCATATTTAAATACCCTTTAGTGACCAAAAAAAAAAAAAAGTTAAAAAACTCAGTTATTCTTTTCCCTTTTAAAAACCAAGCTGGATTTTTAAAAAATTCTCTGTAGTGCCTTCTGAGTAAAGCAGATTATTTGTTCTTAGTGGGAGAGTCTATTCCAATTAAGCCAACAGACCCTACTCATAAAACAGGAAAATGTAAGCAATGCATAGTAAAGGAATTCTTCACTAGAGCTCCCCTTTGTTGAATGTCTTAGTCTGTTCAGGCTGGTGTACTGAAAATACCATATACTGGGTGGCTTATAAACAACAGAGATTTATTTCTCATGGCTTTGGGGACTGGGAATTCCTAGGTCAAGGTACCAGCATATTCAATATCTGGTGAGAGCAGCTTCCTGATTCATAGACGGCTGTCTTCTCACTACATCTTCACAAGCAGAGGAAGGAAGAAAGCTCCTGCGTCTCTTTTATAAGGGCACTAAACTCATTCATGAGGCCCCACCCTCATGTCTCATCACCTCTCAAAGGCCCCACTTCTTACACTGTGACATTGAGGTTAGGATTTCAACATACGACTTTTGGAGGAACACAGCCTTTCAATCCATTGCACCTAAGTATCCAAAATATCAGATGACCAGTTAATAAACCTAAGTATTCAAAATCACTGCAGCAAGTTTGACCACCACCTTAACAGAGTCTAAGTGGTGTCTCAGAAGGGAAAGTAAGAAGTAGATATTAATAGAATTTCAAAATCTGGACTTTTCAGGGTGGGAAACTCATTGGAATTGGGCAAAGTTCATGACATAATAATTCAGGACTGATAGACACAGTGAGGTGAGGATCTTGGAGCAAGTCTGGATCAATAACAGTTGTTTGAGAAACAAGCAATTTGTTCACATGAGCAGACTGCTGTCTCCAATGAGTTGATCTGTAAAAAATGCCTGAAAGAGTGAAATTATATTTTGTTTAGTCTTACTTTTTTCCAGGTGAAGTTTCCCTGGAACACACAACAAAGTCATGTTGACACAGATGGTCTCAGTTCTCACCTGTACCAGCCCCCTCACCTGCACAAGACGTGTGGGTGAGCCCCACTCATGGCAGCATGTGGCACTTACTGAAGCCCCACCTTCCGAAAGATTTTTTCTTCACGAACACTATTCAAATAGATGGAATCCATGATTCTGGGAGATCACTGCTGTTTGACAAATGCTTTACAGGACTTGAAAACAGTATTATGATTTTTGAGTCTTAATTGGGTCTCGAATCCTATGAATAGATGGAAGTTTTATTCTATCCCTCACCCTAACTCCCCGAATCCTTTTACATTCAATGTGATAAACATTGTGTGAGCTATCCACTAAATATTAAATGCTGTTAAAGGTAGGAAAATTTGTACAAACATATTTATAATGAAATCTGAATGTAGGGTTTTCTTTGAAGACTCAGAGGAGTGAGAAATTAATTCTGAACTGGTCAAAGAAGGAGAGATTTTGGGTGCACATAAAATTTGAGCTGAACCTTGAAGAACAAAAGGAAAATGTGATGTATAACAAGTCTGCTCAGTTTAGTTGGTGCCATAACAATTAGACTGGACCTACGGGCAACAAGTAGCTAAGTAAACTAATTGATAACTCAGTTTTTTACTTTTCAGTGTGTGTTTTTGATATTTGCAAGCTGCAATCATGTATAATTTATAGCTATTGGTTTAGAAGACAGAACGCTATATGGCTATATATGCCAAATATAGAAAACCTGAAAAAAAATGTCCTTATGATACACAGAAGGAAAATTTGTAGTGTCAAGTAAGAACTAAAAAGAGAAAAAATTATCTTTTCTCATCTTTTCCAGGTTTACACTGTTCTTTTTCAAATTAAAGGCTAAGTTCTCTCCACTTTGAATTCCACAAATACAGTATGTATATAATCGGGCAAAATTAGTTGTACGATTTTAACTTTTTTTAAGATTTACCTTTTCTTTGCATTTTCCATGCAGGGACAAAAAGTAAGCACAAATATGTAAGGAGTTAAAATAAGGTTTTCTGAAGATTTTCTGATCTTATGTTCACAAAATTCCCTCTTTTTTAATGTTAACACATGCAAAGAAGGGAAATTAGGCCTATTGTATTTTGCTATTTTCTCTTGAATTTTAATTTAAAATGAGAATGATATTAACAGGACAGGTGAGCTTTGAGGAAAAAATCATTAGGCTGGTATTTTGCAAGCCAGACAGCTCATAGAAGCAAGTGAACTTGTACATTTGGCCTGTTTTTTTAAATATCAAAGACCTTGAACTATAGATGGCAAAAGAATTTAGCTTTTAACAGCACTTAGCATGAAACAAAGAATGCAATGAAAATTATGTGGAATTTGTGAATCAGGAGAGAGGCAAGGTAAAATAAAGGTAATTTAAATTTCGAACACTTAAGAAATTATCCAGTGGCTGCAACTGTGAAAGAAATGAGCTAACAAATCTCTTTTTTAAAGAGTAAATAAAATGCTCACAAGAAACTGAGCAAAGCCTGATTAAAAAGCAAAGCAAAGTACTGATTAAAAACAGACTGCTAGTGTGTTTTACATTTAGAAATCAATAAAGGTTAGTAAATATGTCCCTATTCCATTCAGCTGGTTTCTGCTACGATCTAATTACATGAGCTGGAAGGCAATGGTCTTTATCAGAATCATCAGACACAGAAAGTGAGCATCAGCTGGGCAGAATCTCCCTGCTCCCTCTCCTGTCCTTCTTGTTTAAAGCAGGGTTAGTGGTGCTGAAATTTTCTCCAGTGTTCGGCAATCCTGCGCTGCTTTAGGACTGTCTTCCCTCATTTCTGTCTGTCCTGCAGACTTGAATCCCAAATGACAGCTGACATCCAGACCATCTTACAGCTGCTGCAGAAACAAACCACCGTGGTCCCCCCAGCCTACAGTATGGTAACCGCAGGAGCCGAGTACCAGAGACCCGTCCTCCGCCTAATGAGAACCAGTCATCCGTCAGCATCCATCAAGACCGACCGAAGTTTCCGTCCTTCCTCACAAGTGAGTACAGTGTACAGCCGAATGACTCTCAGTGTTTCCAGGGCCCCCCAGAGTCAGAATCCCCTGGGCCGCTGTAGAAAATAAAGACCCACATCCCCATCTCTATTCCTGCACAATTAGTGTTTTGGGGACTGGCCCTTCCATCTGCATTTCAACAAGCTTCCCACGGAGTCCTATGTTCACTAAAATTTGAGAACAATGGACCTAGAAGAATGGCTTTAAAAGACTCTATTTTATTTATTTATTTTTAAGAAAAGGTTCTTTTTGAGAATCAATTTACTTACATTTCTGTATGATAGAGCCTTAAAAGCTAATAACCCTGGGTCCAGAAAGCATTTCAGACAAAGGCCTGTAGTTTGCTCTGGCTGACAAGAGGCCGTGTCAGGAAGCAGTGGGACGTAGCAGCTGTCCAGAGAAGCCCCGACGTCCCACGGCAGGCCAGCTAGCGATCTGGTCTGCACACCACCCATCACCAGAGATCCCTGAACTTTCCTCACTTTGATGACAAGGCAAGAGGCGGAATGTGTAAGTGTCCATTTTCCTGCCTCTGAAGTCCTTGAGGCCCTTTTGAACTCTGTTCATTAGAAAAGTCTAACTCCCTTGGAATTTTGTTTAGGAAATATTCTTAATAACTTCCACGCTATAGCAAAACTGTACCTAAAAACAATGATTTGAATAAGGATTTACAGACCAATTTTGTAAAACTTTTCTAGAAGTTTGGAAATTCAACGAAAAGTGTTCTGGGAACAGAAACTACATTAATAACGGGAAGAAATGTGCAGAAGGAAAATAATGCAGTCTTCCTGAAATACGAAAGGAGAAATTTATTTATTCCTAACTAGCTTGGAATGTCTGGGAAACAAGCAAAAGCATGTATTGTGTTTTCAGGGGATTTAGATAATATATTCTAATTAGAAATGGTGATTTTCCTTCCTTTTTCTTTTATCTCCATCTTGTACTCTCTATTCAATGGATGACCCACATTTCCAATGCCAGTTTTGTCTTGAATGCTGAAAAAGATGTGAAGATTAGTTAATACCACTAATCAAGTATAGGTTAATGGGCAAACAAACCATATTTAGATTTCATGAGTGTAGTTTTTGAAATCTGTTTAAATGAACTATAAACCATGTTTTCTCTTTTCCTATCAGTGTCCTGAATTTCTAGACCTTGAAAAATCTAAACTTAAATCCAAAGAATCTCTCTCAAGTGGGGTGCATCTCAACACAGCTTCGGAAGACAACTTGACTTCACTTTTAAAACAAGACTGTGATCTCTCTTTAGAGCTTCACCCACGGCAAAGAAAAACTTACCTTCATCCAGTTAGGCATCCATCTTTGACAGAGTCATCCCTAAGCACTGTAGGAATCTTGGGTCTTCATAGGCATGTTTCTGATCCTGGTCTTCCAGGGAAATAATTATTTTGTACTATTTACTCCACATACAATGTAAGTGCTTTTAATGGCTGTTTTCCTTTTTGTATTTCAATCCTCTCTACTTGACTCAGGGGCTCACAAGGTACCATTATATGCAAAAGTACTGTATATTTTCCTAAACTGAAGCTTGTAAGGTAAAATTGAGCAGTTAGGTTGTAAATATACATATGAATTCTTCTGTTCCAAATGTTACAACTGCCAGCATCTCAAGGCACCTATTTTTTATTTTTATTTTTTAAATCATGTGCATGTTAGGAAACTCCACTTTCTCTTGCATGGAGACTCCTATTTATTGCTTTTACTAAATCAGTACTTTGTTATGAAAATGCCTTCCACACAAGTAAGAAACCAAGGGATAAACTGTTCATGGATGAAACTCAGATGATTCTCAAGTTCAAGGGAGAGAAAGGGAACTCAGTCACTTTTGAGAACAGATACCCTTCTCCATCAAGATGTTTATAATTAATTACATCCATGCCACCACACTGAAAAAAAAATACACTTTTAGAGTTACAAATCTCTGACAATATAGAAAGCTATCTCCAGATGCATGAACACAGAACCAGCTCTAATGGAATGGAGACAAAAAGGCCTATTTTAAATTCTGTCTATAACCGCCCTCACAAACTACCTAAAATATTTTCCACTGGCAATTTCCTCGAATGCTTAGAAACCAGTTTCTCTAATTTTTCTTTTTAGGGGGAGGTGGGCAGGAAGGAAGTCTCCTTAAGAACTGTGAATGTGTGATTGACACAAAGTAGTATCTTCAGCTTTCTCCTGGCTCATTTTTAGATTAATCCTGAATTTGATCAAAAGACTGGATGCACATAGTTTTCTTTTCAAAAAATATGCAGTCTGAGTGAGTCTGCATGGCAATACCAGCTTCCATTAAGTCTATGTTGTTCTATGGCTTTCTAATCCCAGCTATGGAGAAAACAATGGCATTTGCCTGCCTATACAGAACATGCACACACCAGCAGTGAAGTTTTGTTTGGCTATTCAGACACGTTTGCTAATTGAAGATTAAATAAAAATCTGTTATATAGAGATTGTGCTGAATATGTATCAACCCCAGAATATCAAACATACAATGGAATATATTTTAATATATTCAACTGTTTGGTTTTGGGGGTGGGGTGGGGTATATGCCTCTCAAAATCAGGGTACAGAAAAAATTGCAACTTATTTTATGATTCTGATTAGTCAATTCTAGTTATAAAGTTTTATTTTACAATTCATTTGAGTACAGTTTTAAACTTATTATGGACTGATCCTTTATAGCCTTTCCCTCTGAACAATATTTTGAAATTCTTTGAAAGTTCTTCGTTTCTTACACTCACATATAATTTTAAAGAAACATATCTGTGTACATTATTAAATGGATTGATTTCTAGCCCTTCAGGTTAGAAATATAAGCTATTGGCTTACCTTTACATGTGACACTAATATGTTAGTTTCAAATACAAGCAATTTATTTAAATCTACAAAAACTGTTGCACTATTTAAAATATGATCAAAGTGACCTTAAATCCCTCCCTATATATTTTTAAATGGTCACATAAATTAATAATCTGGGTGGGAGGCATGTTTTTCTCTCCATTTAGTTTTTGAGAAATGAAGACATAAGCAATCAAGTATATATGGCAAAATGACTAATCAATTCAATACAAGTATAATCATTTTAACCAGCTTCCAAGCCATTTGGTGCAATGCAGTACACATTTAGGGACTGATATTTTTCTTTCCTCATTAAAAACATTGATGGGTACCTTGCAGGGTAGAGAGAAATGGCTAACTGTGATTCACAGGACAATTTAGGGATTTTATGACCATATTTAGGCATATTTTTGCAGCTGCAACAAATTTCAGAAGGATTGCTGGCCTAAATTCCAGGGAAATACAAAATGAATTCACCAGAGACGGTCATTTGTAGGGAGACAGGATTTAGCAGGTGAGGAATTTAGATCTGATTGTTTGATTAGTGAATGCTTCAGCTGCAACATTTGATACGACATGCATAAAACTCAGCCTTTCACATCAAGCCTTGAATACTTCTTTATAAAAACGGAGCATGAAGGAATGGGAAGAAGAGAATGGTGTGTAAGCATCCAGCTTATTTAAATTCTAGCATAACACAAATCTTTTTTATTCTTAATTTCTTGATGCTAAATAATTGTGTGATATTAAAATATAAATCTCAAGAGAGTTGGACAAGATTAGGAAAGTCCTCTCCTACAGGATCTTAGGTTAATAAAAAACTGAGCAATGTAAAGATGCAGACTTTATGTTGCTTTAAATGTCAGAAGACTCAATGGTTAAAATGACTTATACATGATCAAAACAATTATCTTAATTTACAAAATGAAGTTCCTTGTCCCAGCCAAAGATCTAAAGCCTAAAATCACTGTCACTTTCCCCAGGGTCTGTATCAACAACAGTCAGACCCATCCATCCTGGAATCCTGATGAGAGTTTTAACTGCTGCAGCCAATAATAATCCCGTATAACTGCTCAGTTTCTAGGTAATTAAAAGCACCAACATAACACCTTCTGCTTTCCTCCTAAAGGTGTTACCTGGTCCCCAGGCCTAAATAAAATGCCATCTAAAATCTAAAGTTGATTCGGGCTGGATATTTTCATGCTGCTATTAATTGCTGGGTGGAGCTGAAAGTTAGACTTAACATTTTACCCTGAAGGGGACTCCCATACTCTAATTAGCTGATGAAAAAAAACCTAGGAATGAAAAATGCTGAAGCAAGGTTCTTGCAGAGTTTTTAAATTAACAATCACTCAGCAAACATGAAGGCCAGGGCAGAATCGGGACAGCACAGTTTCTTAAATCCGTATCATGGGTTGGTCATCAGAGCTGAATTTTCCAACTCATTTGGACAGAAGATATGGAAACTAAGTCAGGACATAGCAACATTTGGTGTCAGGTTGAATATGTGTGTTTAAGGGTTGCTTATAAAATCTTTTTTTGAGGTTGATCTTTAGCAATGGTTCCAAAATGCCTAAAAGAACAATGGCCTTGTCCAAATCTCATTTAAAATCCCATCACATATTACCAAAGGATAAATTCTATCACCTCATCAGCATATCTAAAATTTTAACAATCTTTTTCCTCTAAATGCTTTTCATGGTTAAAAAAAGGAATTTGTTACTCTAGTTATAAAAATTGAATTGCAACATTGACTAATTTATAATATAGTGTCTTTAAATTGCTTATCCAAATTTAAAACCAAAAGTAGATCAATACATTTAAGTAGACTTCTTGCTGCAAATCAAAATTTTTGCAAATTACAAAAACAGTTCAAATATTGTTAGGTTTCTAATCCTATTTTTGCAGGAAAACAAATGTGCCCACCAAGTGAGTCCATAGAAGCACTTGGAAGTCAAGATGATGGGTGTCCCCCAGTGTGGTCCTATAATAAGCAGCACTAACACCACTTGGGAACTTGTTAGAAATGCATATTTGGGGCTCCACTCAATGAGAAACTCTAGGGTGGGATTCTACTATCATCCTTTAACAAAACCCCCTGCTTATGACCCTGATGCACACAGATTTGAGAACCACCAATGTAGAGCGCCAGCTCTGTGAGTTCTTTCATTACTAACTGTGTGACAGTGAGCAAGTTCATTAACCTCTGAGTCTTTTCCTTGCATCTGTAAAAATGAGATGCTGGTCCCTGCTTCAAAGAAGCTTGAGGAGGAAATGAGATAGCAAGGTGCCTGGCACATAGTAGGTGCTCAAAAAATACTAGATTCTTCAGTTGTCAACTAGGAATGTGACATTAAAAACAATCAGGAAAAAAACAATTTCCCACAATTTAGCTTTTCATTATAGGCTATGAATCCAACTAAACAAATAGCTGTTGTCAAGACTAAAGTTTTTTTTTTTTTTTGAGAGGGCATCTCTCATATTTATTGATCAAATGGTTAACAACAATAAAATTCTGTATAGGGGGGTCAATGCTCAATGCACAATCATTCATCCATCTCAAGCCTAAGGACTAAAGTTTTTGACTCAGAAAAAGCAAGTGGAGCTGTTTTCTCTCCCTTAATTGTATTTTGCATGGTTAGGTTTATAGCTTTAAGGTAATACTTATTTATAATAATAATAGAGTATGAATCTCCTTGTTACAAACACATCTACTCTGAATCTCCGTGAAATGCTGAGTATGCAGAGGTGATCTGAGATTCAGCACCATGAGAATGTGCTCTGCACAGGCTGGCTCCCTGTGGAAGCCCCTCTTTAGATCCATGATGGAGTTCCCAAATGGATCTTTGAAAACACATTTTCAAAATACAATTTTTATAGAAAATACACCTATTTTTTCAGAAAAACAGACTTTTACAGTGATAATGATTCTCTTTAGGCGTCTAAACCCACTCCTTCATTGCACAGATACTTAGACTGCCTAAGCTTTAGTGTGGAAGGATGGAAATGGGATGATTCAACGTGGTAAACCTGAATTTAAATCCTACCTTCTCCACCTACTCTCAGAACAAACCCTCAGTGAGCCCTAGTATGCAAAACTATAAAAATGGGGGTTACATCTTAAGTATCCTGAGGGGGTATTGAGAACCCTCTTCAGTTATACATGTGCAAATGCTTTGCAAACTATCAAGCAACACATAGATGTAAGGTCATCATGCAACTTGTGCATCATCACAAAGATGGTATTTGGTGGCAGTGCACTTCCACGGCCCTTTCCCCTACCCAACCCTGACTGTATTTACCCTCTGTGACAAAAATCTATACAGTGATTCCTACACAACTTTCAAAGACCCATTTGCTCAGAATAGGAGAACGCCAGTGGTAGGGAAGCTTCCTGTGCTGTAGCATACCAAAATTTGTCAAATATCAACTTCATCCCACATGCATAATTATAAATTTGCATCACAGTTGTTTTCTAGGTCTGCAATGGCTTCCCCCTCTCCCTCTTACTTTTTTTTTATTAAGGTATCATTGATATACTACACTCTTATGAAGGTTTCACAAGAAAAACAATGTTATTACATTCATCTTTATTATCAAGTCCCCCTCCATGCCCCATTGCAGTCACCGTCCATCAGTGCAATAAGATGCCACAGAGTCCCTATTTGTCTTTGAGGTACACTGTCTTCCCCATAACCCCATGCACACCATGTGCACCAGTCATGATACCCCACAATCCCCTTCTCTCTCCCTCCTCACCCACACCCCCTCACCCCTCCCCTTTGGTAACCACTATTCTCTTCTTGGAGTCTGTGAGTCTGCTGCTATTTTGTTCCTTCAGCTTTGCTTCGTTGTTATACTCCACAAAAGTGGGAAATCATTTGGTATCTGTCTTTCTCTGCCTGACTTATTTCACTGAGCATAATACCCTCTAGCTCCATCCATGTTGTTGCAAATGGTAGGATTTGTTTCTTTCTTATGGCTGAATAGTATTCCATGTATATATGTACCACATCTTCTTTATCCATTCATCTACTGATGGACACTTAGGTTGCTTCCATATCTTGACCCCCTCATTTCTTAAGAATTCTCATTCAAAGCTGTTTTCTTATGGTTCTACTTAACCTAAAAAGGAGTGATATTAACATTTTAAAAACTGAAAGGATCATGGGTTAAAATTCTTTATGAAATATTAGGTATTGTCATTGATCAGTGCTCATGCTTAGAATAATTAATTAAATGCTCTATACTTTGCTTTAAGAATTTGCAATACAGAAAAGAAAATTCACAGTAAGACTTGAATTATTAGTAACCGAAAGCACAAAAAGAAATGATCACAAGACATGTATGTAAACTATTAAGTGTAGGTTGAAAGAGATAACAAGAAAGCTTATTAAAAATAACTCATTACTATAAATAGAATAAAACATCTATAGAAATGCAATATTAGGAAAACAGAACCAATCATTGACCAAGCTCATTGTCAAACTTTTTAAAGAATAGCAATGTTATTACATAAATGCTCCCAATAAAATATTTGTATAGTAAGAACTAACATTATTGATGCGGTTATTCTTGAAAAGCTAATATCAAAACTTAGTTGAACTGCTAAATTGTAGTCATGATATCTTGACTTCCATTAGTTAATTTATATTTTGAGAGAAAATAATTTGGCATACCTGTGAGTTTTAAATCATTCCATACATTTAACCTAATTCTTTGTATTTCCTCTGTATTTATTTTTAAATGAAAATAATCACAACTGTTAGCTTTTAAACTTATTTTTTTTCTCATACTGACATTATATTAAGTGTTTGAGTATATAAGAACACTCTACATCATTCCATCATCCTTATTTAGGAATAAAATGTAAGGATCAATAATCTTATAATTAATTCTTCCATATAGTCTCATCAAAATGCCCCTATAATTAGAGTAGCATTGAAATGATTTGGTACCCTTTATTCCAAATAAGATAAGAATAGTGAGGATTCTCTAGTTTTTAATCTCCTAGATACCTGATTTTAATTAAAGGCCTTTTTAGCTGAAATTTGCATTCCATAATTTTGTTTAGGAAAATGTGTATCAGAATGTTTGCAGTTAAAGAATACTGCATTTCAAAAAATAACGTAATCACTTTGAAATGTCAGTTATCTGATATAAAGCTCATTCACACTGGTTATGTAGTTTAATAGCTTGGAATGCTTTAAACATAATGAAACAATCTACCAAAACACTTTTTCCTAGTCTTTATGCACATAATGTAGCATGAAATCATGATGCTTTTGAAATACTTTATGCAGAAATATTTATTTTTTAGCAAATATTTTCTTCAAAGATCTTTATGTGGTATTGACAGTGTCATCTACTTGCACAATTAGTTTTGCAATAACCTACAAATAACTGTAAATAAGAAAAATGTAAATATCATGTACAAATGGTTGCAAATTTTTGGTAGCTCAAAGTGTACAAGTTAAATTGAAAATAATAGTATATATACATAATTTAAAAATGAAGTATATAATTTCTGATCTATTTATACATGAAAATTCCAGAATTTGTAAACAAAATTATTTTGGGGAAAACGAAAGTAAATCGCATTAGCTAGTTAGGATACTTTTATTAGAGAAGCCAACTATTTCCAAAACACTTTACTAAGTGCAGTACTAAATATAGGCATGGTGGTGCTGTCGTATTTCACCAAGTCACATTACTTTAACAGTGCTACTACATTGCTGAGTTCCACCCAGACACTAGTAAGCTGGATTGAGTGGCAGAAAGCATTATATCTAAAATCAAAGAAACATAAAAACATTTCACTTTTATTATTGCCTGGCAAGAACACAATGGCAATTTACTAAATCATCTATTGTTTGATTACTTAAAATTTCTGGTGGCTAAACAGGCACTAACTTACATCTAAAAACTTTTTTAATAATGTACTTTTTTTGCAAGAATGAAAATATCCAGATAACATTATTTTCATTAATCTAAATTTCATACTGTCTTAATTCCTCCCCTAGGGTCATTTCTCTCTTATTTAAGAAGAAAAATCCAAACTATCTTCAAAGAAAACTTGTAAGTAAGCTATTGGTCATAATATGACTTTTCTAAGCTAAAGACTGTTGAGTCTGTTCAGTGGTTTCGATTCCCCTCCATTTTTAAGGTTTGAAAAACCAGAACCAAGAGAACATTGCCCTGTGTAGTAAATGAAACCCCAAACCAAACACAGATGAACAGAAAGCACTGGATTGGTAGCTATGAGAGAGGCTGTTTAAAAAATGAGGAAGTACGAACAAGCTTTGGGAAATTAAGTACACATCCAAAAGTTCCGTTATTCCTAAAGTTGTTTTAAAATGGCCTGACATTTTCAAAAGAATATGGATTTTTAATTAATCTGTTTCTTATATACTCACACTAGCACTGTTCAGGTTATCCTTTGAAATTTCAGTAATCATAGTAAGATAAAATGTGACTAAATAGTCACTTAAAATACAAGCGATTGTATGTATTTGTAAAGTATACTATGTATATTTTAATGCTTGAGGGATAAGGTTGAGACAGACACCCCAGTCTCCATCCCCAAAGCGCGCGCGCGCACACACACACACACACACACACACACACACACACAATGTATCAGAAGGTACTAATTCCTAGCATACTTGTCTCTGACTATAGATATTAAATAATGACCTAGCTCAGTTCTTCTCACTCCTGCACACTTTCCAAATTGCCAACATCTCTGAGGTTGCAGAATAGAACACCTGAAAACACACATAGTACAGGCAAGGACCCTACTCATCCCCCAACTGTATGGTACATGTAATATCAGAGAAGTGCTGCCAGTGTCTACTTCCTATATATTCAGATAGACAGAAGCACCCCTAGTTTTGAATGCCTACAAAATAAAACACAAATCTGCATACTACCAAGTTACCTGAGTAAAGGAATGTTAAGTAATATAAGATTTTCTTTATTGCCAGTAAAACATGGTTTTTTAAAAAGCAAGCAGGGAAGACATGGCAAGAAACAATTAAAAGCAGAGATGTCCCAGGATTCAAATAATGAGCTGATAGTGAGTCAGATGAGAAATTTTTCTGAAGTTTCCCAATGTTTTGCTGGAAAGTACTTTTGTGCTCAGTATTCTAAATTACAAGAGAAGTTTAAATTAAATAGATGGACATATTGACGTTATGACCTTAGTCTAGGCTACAAATTATTTGAACAGTATTCATTTAAAATTCTGTCTGCATTCATCACTACAATAACAGAAGATCTAAATTTTCATTTTTTTCTTTATATCATGTATTATTATGAAGTCTAGACATACTTAGATACCTTAACATTTTATATTTCACAGTGCTTGCATAATTTACTATGTAGTAAATGATTAAGACCAAAAAAATAGGATTTTTAATATGTTTCAACGTAATAAGACACTCACGGCTTCATTTTAAAATTTAAGAGAAAAAAATGCTAACACAAAGAAATCTTTACTCAACAGATTTGATTTATCCTGTTTTTACAAATTTATTTCTATTAATTTCACCAAAAATGGCTACAAATAGAAAACATATCATCTATGAGTTTGTCAAACATAAAAGGACAAAGAAAAGCACATTTCCGACAAATAGTATTTATTTTGTTTGTCCAGTTCAGTCATAAGATTACAAGTGAACTTTATTTGTTTTATTTAAAGAAATAATCACAAATTGATGTTTTGTCACTTAATTACACAGACCTTAAACTACTTTAATGAATTCTTTCTTCCAGGGTAAATGTCTTTTCTGGAAATAAACATATCACTTGAGATTGATTTTTATTACTTTTTGTTTCTGAATGCATGCTTAAATAGATCAGATGAGCACATCCTTGAAATTACATTTAAAGTGGACCAAATTAAGATTTCAATCGTATTGATTTCCCCTTGATATAATTCAAAATGTATAAACTGCCACTCGAAATAGAAGGTCAATACCTGACATTTAAGCCTTTGGTAGTTTTTTTTAGGCATAGATGAATTACTGCACTGTTATTTGAACTGAAGCATCTCATAATATATATGTAACAGATTTTGTATGATGAAAATCTTTACAGCAAGCTATTTGAATGTTTATTAAAAAAATCTCAAATGACATGGAAACATGTTTATGGTATAAATAAAAGCACTTAAACACTGAGTGTACATTATTCAATAATTTACATCATCATAAGAAAACTGGGTGTGAGTTAACCAATACAAACCACCATACAATATTCATACTCCAGTGATATGTCATAAAACTAATTATACCATAGTAAGGGGTGTCTGTTTACAATTATCTTAAAAGCATCAAAAACTGAACTGCATTTCAGTATAAAAAACCCAGTAAAATATTCTCTAGGCTTAATGTTTTTAATAAGATTATCTATTTAATACAAAGGATAAAAGAATTGTCTAACAAATAAGTTGGATTGGCATTGTTAAAAAAACAGCAAAATTCAACCCAGTAAATTTGAAAATATAATTGGCTTTAGTAGTAATTCATGAATCTGACAACATCTCATTTAGCAAGTAGAGATGCTCTGATAACTGCAGAAAAGGAAAGGTTTTTAAAAGTAGGGAGCAGAAAAAAAGGAGATTAGCAGTAGATAATTCATTGTTCTAAGCCAGGTCACCCTCCTAAGGGGAATAAAAGGTGTCTATCAGGAAATTTTCTAGCGCTGACAAGGGAAGTCCAAGTTGACTAATTAAAAGTTGTATTTCTGGTGACTGGGGTGGGGGTTCTGAGACTTCACCTGGGTTAGGTACTCAGTCTTGGTTTGCTGACATAGGGATATTAACATATGTGACTGTGTCTTTGGGCCTGTAGTTTTCCTTTTAATATCATGGAACATTAGTATGCTGGAGAAAGGAGTTTTCTGGTCAAAAAGTTTGGGAAAAATTGGGTCAAAAAAATTAAGCAGGATTTTAGGTACAGTAGGATTTATCAAGCTTCCTGAGGAAGATTAGAATTTCCCATATATGTTTGGCCATGGACTCCTTCTTCGTAGATCTATGACCAGAAGTCATGAGAACACTTTCAGAAAAGATGAGTTAGAGAATTGTGTACAGTTCTAATACAAAGTGTCATTTGGCAGAAACATATAATACCATATGTCATTTTTAAAGTTTTACCCCAACCATGAACCTCCAAGTAAGAAAAACTATAACAGATATCAGAACAGCATAGTAACTCAACTATCTATAAGCTGAATGTTAAGGTTCCAGTCTGCTGAGTCACATTATCAGCCTTATTCAACATGAGCAATAGTGTTTGTTAGCTTTTTCATACAACACTTCTAATTAGAATTCTCTATTTTTTTATGGCTGCTAATGTCTTCTCACATTATCAAATATATGTTCATGAAAAAAATTAGTAGCCAGAGGACCGAATTATATGGATTATTTATTCATACATTTTTATAAAGCTGACCAATGAATTCAAAAGCTAATTAAATAAAATTATCAATGTCAAAATGGTTACACATTTCTTTCTTTCCAGGACTGTTAAAAGTGAAAAAATTGATTTAAAATTCTGTAAGTTTATAAAAGACTTTTTTCAAGATACTTCTATTTATCCTCCATCTTTTAAAAAACATGGAATTTTATAAAAAGCATGTATTAATTTGGTCACCAGCCACACTATAATTATATTTTGTATTCACCTTTAAGCTGAAGACAGATAAAGTGTAAGAATAATATGTGATTTATTAAATCTTCATTAAGAAAGACTTAGAGTGTTTGCCAATTACAACAGCTTATATCAGGGATCTTAAATGCTAAGGACCTGGTGACTCGACTTTGCAATTTCCAAAGTAACACCACTTAGAAATTGTTGCTGTGGTGTCCACTCTACTCAGGACCCACATACACAGATGGGTTCAAAAGACTGGTTTACTAATGCGCAAACCCCCAGGTAATGCTGTCAACAAAGTAAAACTTATGGTTTCTGAATATTTAAACAAAGTGGTAGATTACTTGATTATATATGCAGTTGGCATTATGTGTGAACAACAACGTTCTTAAGAGAACAAATCTGAAAGTTGACATTTCAAAAATGTATCATTTCCAAAGAATCAAGACTTAGCGGAAGATGCCATTTTAGGTTATCTATGTCTCCATTAACAAAATGAGGTACAGAGGGAAAGTAGTGTTTATTTAAAACTTTTTTCCACAAAAGACAAAAAAACCACACCAAAGAAAAATACACACTTTGTAAAAAATAAAAAAGGAAAAACAATGGCTCCTATAAGTCTTATTTCACTACAGATTAATTTATGGTCTACCTAAAGTGATTTAAGATAAAATCTAGGACATACAATTTTCTTCTACAGAGGAAAAAACCTGTGAGTTTCTGTTCTCTAATTATGTACTCAAGGAATAAGCCCTATTTCAAATATGGTACAAAATCCAGGCTCCCCTTCTAGCTCATTCTACCAGCAAAAACCAACTACCAACAAAACTTCAAAGTATAATTTGCAATCCACACAATTATAAATTAGTTTTAATGAGGCTTTGATTATTTGACTTCTTATATAATCTATCCTGTAAGTACATTCAAATCTCTAGGGTTATAATGTTAAAAATTAAGAGATATTTACATCAATCACATAACAATATTTTGTCACTATGCACATATCAGTAAAGTCATTACGTTTTTAAAAGAAATAATATCCCAAATACAAAAACATTTCTTACATTGCTTTGAACTGTGCACTAACATAAAAGCATATAGAAAGGAAAGAGATTTTAACAAGTAGAAACATGCTTAAAGCCCCAAAAAGTTTAATTCAAATTAGTCCAGTTCATTTCTTCCAAGTAAAAATATTCACAGTATCTCTTCAGCTTTCAAATTCTAGACATTTAAATCGCCATCGTACCCTGCAAAAACTAATATAGAAGCAATATCATCAGCTGGTAATAATAAAATGGTTTTTTTTATTAGTACTCTTTTTAATACTCCATAAAAGCATTTTCACAAGAGGGGAAATTTAAGTCTCCAAAGTGTAATTCAAACCAATATATCCTAAAACTTTCACATAACAACAAAAAAACCTTGAAACACTAAAGCACATGTGACATGTGAAACATAATTTTCCTATAGCTTCAACTAAAAAAAATGGAATCAGCAACCTTTGAAATGAGAAATGAATAGCTTGTTAACTTATCATAGATGAAAATTTCCTGTCTCTCTTAGACCAGCAAAAGCAAACTACTCTTTATAAAAAAAGGTAGTTTTACCTTAACAAATCATTTTGAAAATCAACTGCCAAAACTGCTCATAAAATTTATGCATATTTTTATGTTTAATATGAAGTCAAGATGGGTATTTGTACTAGTATTGAATCTTACATATATGCATTCAGCTGAAAAATATAAGAAAGGAATAACGGTCTGTAAAATATATTCCCAGTGTTGATACCAGAGAGCATTTACAAATTTTTGACAACTATGAACACATCAGAACAGTGTAAATACCAAGTGTTAACTCAGAATACTCACATCATCATACATGAAATTCACAACTCCTTGCTGCAAGTGATCTCTTCTCCTAAAGAAATCTTTAAACAAAAAAGGTACCTTTTTATTATGATTTAAAATCTATAGTTTCAAATACTTGGGTGTTCCCAGGTACTAAAAAATGACTGATTTCATACTCAATTACATTTTAAGTGATTTCATGTCCCAGGCAACTGAGACATGAAGAGAACTGCAAAATTGAGCTATAACAATTTTTCACTATTTTTATAATCCTAAATTTTTAAAGCTGTAAAAAACTCTGATTAGGTCTAATGGTGAATAAAGGGGGAAAATACATAATATAAACTTGGTGAAGGAAATAATGAGAGACACTATTCAGAAAAGCAGCTGTACAATACTGTACTCATTTTTAAAAGGTCATTACCCGTCAATGCTCGAAGCTTCACGCAGCAAGCAACATAATCATCAAAGAAGATTCTGCCATTCTTGCTATACCGTTTAACAATAGCAGTTAATGTTTGAGGACTCAACCTATAACCTAGAAAAAGAGATGGGTAGATTAAAACTTCTAAAACTAAGTACCATAAGAACACCATAACACTGAATTCATTTTTAAAAAATCATAATTTTTCAAAATTCATTCCATAAATATACTAGAAACAAAACACACACAGAAATGACCACAGTCTTCACTATTAATAGTGAAGTGTTACATAAATATCACAATACTAGTTTTATAATAAAGAAGCTAAGGAGGAAATAATTATCTTTTTGTGTTTTCAAGATGTATTTTGATTGAAATAATGTCGAGTATTTCACACATTTTAGTGCTTCAAATTTTCAATTCTGTAATTTTATAGTTCTTTAATGAATATCAAGAATTAATAGTGATCTTTAGTATCATTTAAAGCCTATATTTCCNAGATTTGGAAAAATGATAGTAATCCATTCAGAGTGGAAAACAATAATAAACATAATAGGAAAAAATTCTATGTGTAGCTATAATTAAAATGTAATCCAGGAAACTTACTATAAGTAAATAAAAGGCATAAATTAATAGAAGTAGCAACTAAAACATGCAAACTGATACCATTATATGTAAATGGTACTGACAAAAATTCTTAAGATTTCCCACAGCATTCTCAGCAAAATACCTTGAGTATTTTTAAATACAGCTGGCTTAAATTTGAGTAACATACAATGCTTCTTTGTTACATTCAACTGCCTATGTGAACTCTTTGGTAGCTTTCTTTTTGGCAAAAGGTTATATTAATTTTCCAATGTTATGCTGAATTAAGAAACAAGTTTAATTCACTAGGTATTAATGCTCTATAACCGAGCTACACATGATATAGCCAGGACTGTCCCTAAAATGACCATCTATTAAGCTAAAATGTCTAATTATAAGACAAAACAAACCGTTAGTTTTAACTTCTTTAAATTGGAATTTGAGATAACTTGCACTGGGTTCAGATTTTAACTTCCAAGAGGTTTATTTTCTTACAAATATATTTTGTTTAGAAACTAATGTAAATAATATAACAAGGGTAAACAATTAAGAAAATGACATAAAACTATATTAACTGTAAACAAGCTAAACACCATTTTATATTATCACTTTTTGAAAGAAAGTAGAAAGAAATATGATTTTTAAAAGTTGTTCTTTAAAAATATTATAAAATGCAGACTTCCCACTCTGAGGCATTTTGGAGTCTACAGTGCATTCCACACCTGACAAGAAGAGGAAAAATGAAAAATATGGTTTTTATTGCTGAAAAGCTAGACTATGATATGGAAACCTGTACTTGATTTAGGTAAGCTTTTCTTGTCAAATTAGAGATTTCACTAAGTTGCAAAAGAATGCAACACTAGTGGTGAGTACTAGCAATGAAAGTAATAAATTTAAATATACTCAACAGAGGAAATGCAGAAATTATTTTATTAATCAGAATGTATAACAGATCATCTTTTGAAAAATCATAAAGTGGTTTTTTTAAAGATCTTTAGTCAGAATTTATAATCTTCAACTTAACAGCTGGTGAAATAATGTATCTTTTTTTAGTTAGCAAATTTAAACAGTCACGATTCATCTGATTGAAGAACAAAAATCATGTGGATTCTAAAGAGTTTTAATATTCTTACCCATAGCAGCAATGGCTTGGTTCAATTCATGACGCTCTACTGTGCCGCTCTGGTCTTGATCAATAGTTATGAAGTTCTGCTTCCAGGCATTAAGAGCTGCCCAAAGTTCTTTGAATTCATTAAATCCCATTTTTCCTGTGTAATCTCTCTGATAGTTTTATTAACAAAAATTAATTTTGATACCAAAAAGAACTGACCCAACCCAAAACTCCAAATAACTGACTAAAAATTTGTTAGTATGTTTCTGCAAGAGGTAGCCAAATGTAGCATGTGAGTAGATTTCTATGTAGAATGAGAATATGGAATTCAAACAGGATCTCACAAACTATGTTTAAACTCTCAGGTTTACTGTGGTCATTTATAATAAAAATTGCCTTAATATTCAGAAGGCAATTATTCTATATTCTCCTACTTTCTATTTTTATTCAAGGATACATCCAACATGGCAATCATAATTCTGCAGGTTTCCAGACTGAAGGCTGTAAAACATATTTATTACTTGAATTGGAGTCTGACCAAGTAAAATTATGACAATTTCTATTTTATAAAACAAAACATTTAAAAACTGCCCAAAATATGCAACCACCCCAACCAACAAACTTTCATTGTTTATTAAGTGTTCATGGTAAGGGAAAATACATAATATAAACTTGGTGAAGGAAATAATGAGAGACACTATTCAGAAAAGCAGCTGTACAATACTGTACTCATTTTTAAAAGGTCATTACCCGTCAATGCTCGAAGCTTCACGCAGCAAGCAACATAATCATCAAAGAAGATTCTGCCATTCTTGCTATACCGTTTAACAATAGCAGTTAATGTTTGAGGACTCAACCTATAACCTAGAAAAAGAGATGGGTAGATTAAAACTTCTAAAACTAAGTACCATAAGAACACCATAACACTGAATTCATTTTTAAAAAATCATAATTTTTCAAAATTCATTCCATAAATATACTAGAAACAAAACACACACAGAAATGACCACAGTCTTCATTATTAATAGTGAAGTGTTACATAAATATCACAATACTAGTTTTATAATAAAGAAGCTAAGGAGGAAATAATTATCTTTTTGTGTTTTCAAGATGTATTTTGATTGAAATAATGTCGAGTATTTCACACATTTTAGTGCTTCAAATTTTCAATTCTGTAATTTTATAGTTCTTTAATGAATATCAAGAATTAATAGTGATCTTTAGTATCATTTAAAGCCTATATTTCCCTTTTTTTAATAGACGTATAATTGACATATTAGTGTCACATGTACAACAAAATGATTCAATACTGTACATATTGCAAAATCATGACCATGATAAATCTAGTTAACATCCATCACCACACAGTTAAAATTTTTCTTATGAGGTGAACTGAGATCTACTCTCTTAGCAACTTCTAAATATGTATACACTTCACTGTAAAAATATTGACCTAGAATTACTGTTGGATTAGATTTGGAAAAATGATAGTAATCCATTCAGAGTGGAAAACAATAATAAACATAATAGGAAAAAATTCTATGTGTAGCTATAATTAAAATGTAATCCAGGAAACTTACTATAAGTAAATAAAAGGCATAAATTAATAGAAGTAGCAACTAAAACATGCAAACTGATACCATTATATGTAAATGGTACTGACAAAAATTCTTAAGATTTCCCACAGCATTCTCAGCAAAATACCTTGAGTATTTTTAAATACAGCTGGCTTAAATTTGAGTAACATACAATGCTTCTTTGTTACATTCAACTGCCTATGTGAACTCTTTGGTAGCTTTCTTTTTGGCAAAAGGTTATATTAATTTTCCAATGTTATGCTGAATTAAGAAACAAGTTTAATTCACTAGGTATTAATGCTCTATAACCGAGCTACACATGATATAGCCAGGATTGTCCCTAAAATGACCATCTATTAAGCTAAAATGTCTAATTATAAGACAAAACAAACCATTAGTTTTAACTTCTTTAAACTGGAATTTGAGATAACTTGCACTGGGTTCAGATTTTAACTTTCAAGAGGTTTATTTTCTTACAAATATATTTTGTTTAGAAACTAATGTAAATAATATCACAAGGGTAAACAATTAAGAAAATGACATAAAACTATATTAACTGTAAACAAGCTAAACACCATTTTATATTATCACTTTTTGAAAGAAAGTAGAAAGAAATATGATTTTTAAAAGTTGTTCTTTAAAAATATTATAAAATGCAGACTTCCCACTCTGAGGCATTTTGGAGTCTACAGTGCATTCCACAC